ATGTTTGTAATAAAGTCTAAATCAAAAAGGGATACCCAGAACATTTTGCTGCTGTGGAACTTTGGGGGAGAAATAGAAATATCTGAAGATTTTAAAAATGAAGTTATGACTGTAATAAAAACCTGTCTACTACATCTTAAAAAATTAACTAAGTAATTGCTTGTTTATTCATCCTCGTTTAAGTTTCCAAAGTCAGATTTTGTCACCTTCCAATGGCCAGTCCTACAGGAAGATGCACAAGGGAGCCCACATGCCCATAGATTACATTCAAAAGTGGTCCTGGCCGGTGCCGTGGCTCAATAGGCTAATCCTCCACCTAGGGGCGCCGGCACACTGGGTTCTAGTCCCAGTCGGGGCGCCGGATTCTGTCTCTGTTGCTCCTCTTCCAGTCCAGCTCTCTGCTGTGGCCTGGGAGTGCAGTGGAAGATGGCCCAAGTACTTGGGCCCTGCACCCACATGGGAGACCAGGAGAAGCACCTGGCTCCTGGCTTCGGATTGGCGCAGTGCGCCAGCTGCAGCAGGCGATGAGAGGTGAACCAACGGAAAAGGAAGACCTTTCTCTCTGTCTCTTTCTCTCTCACTGTCCACTCTGCCTGTCAAAAAAATGAAAAAAAAAAAAAAGTGGTCCTGAAAACTCCCTTTATGTTCTCAGAAAACGTTGGTTCTTTTTCATTCCCTCTATGATAGGATCTTAGGTAGAATCTACCTGTTCTTACCAAGGGCTTTTCCAGATGTTGGATAAGCTGAATGGGATAGGGCAGGATAATGCTGGATAAATTTTGTGGTATTTTTTTTTTTTTGGTGAGAAATTAGCTTTGTGCTATTTGTCATAGACAAAAATCATTGCAAGATCCTATCAGTTAAAAATTTTTATACTACAAATGCTGAATTGTGGAGTTCCTTTGTAAGTCACAATAGAGACTTTACTGAAGGTGCAGGTCATCGTCATCATCATTGTCATCATCCTATTGTTATTATTTCAAGGGACAGAGCCCAAACAGATTCATTACTGAGATACTCAAAGCTGAAATTCCTAGAGTGAAACCTTCTTGATGAATTTGTGTCAAGGGTTGGTAGGGGGCATTTTGTCCTTCACAGACATCCCAGCTCCCAGAATAGGAGACTTGAGTAGGAAGCCAAGAGCCCACTGGCCCTCATGTGCCTAAGAGAGGCGCCTAGTATGGAGAAGGGAGTCTCTGCTTTGGAGTCAGATGACAAGCTCCAGCTCCTTGTGCATTTTTTCTTTTTTAAATAATAGTTTTGCTGAAGTGTTAATCACATATCATAATAGTCACCATTTTAGGAAGAAGACTATATTGTTTTAGACTCACAACAGACTGAGTGAAAGACGCAGGGACTTCCTATATACCTCTTGCCCCTATACAGCCTGCACCATGATCAATATCCCCTATCAAAGGGCACATTTGTTACAATTGGTGAACCCACAAGGATACCTCATAATCACCCAGAGTCCATTGTTGACACTGGGGTTCTGTGTTGGTGTTGTGTGTTGGGTATTTGATACAAATGTGCAGCAGCACGTACCCATAATAGTAGTATCATGGAGTATTGCCGCTGTGCTCAAATACATAACCTTAGAATATATAATTCAATGCATTTTCTTTCTTTGTTATTTTCAGTATATTTACAGGGTCATGCAACCATCTCCTCTATCTAATTCCAGAACATTTTTATCACCCCAAAGAGAAAGCCCTTCCCCCATTTTTGTTCTCCATATACCTCTGGCATCCATAAATCAGTTTTCTGACTTGATATATTTGCCGATTATGGGCATTTTGTATAAATGAAGGCATAGAACATGAATTTTTTTTGACAGGCAGAGTGAACAGTGAGAGAGAGACAGAGAGAAAGGTCTTCCTTTTTTCGTTGCTTCACCCCCAGGCCACTACGGCCGGCGCGATGCGGCCAGCGCACCACGCTGATCCGAAGCCAGGAGCCAGGTGCTTCTCCTGGTTTCCCACAGGTGCAGGGCCCAAGGACTTGGGCCATCCTCCACTGCACTCCCGGGCCATAGCAGAGAGCTGGCCTGGAAGAGGAGCAACTGGGACAGAATCCGGCACTCGGACCAGCACTAGCACCCGGGATGCCGGCACCACAGGAAGAGGATTAGCCTATTCAGCCGCAGCACCAGCCAACATGAACTTTTTAATAACTGGCTTATTTCACCTAGTACAGTATTATCAAGGTTCATACATGCTGTAGCATGTATCTGTTCTTCATTATCTTTTTTTTTTTTTGACAGGCAGAGTGGACAGTGAGAGAGACAGAGAGAAAGGTCTTCCTTTGCCGTTGGTTCACCCTCCAATGGCCGCTGCGGCCGGCGCGCTGGGGCCAGCACACCGCACTGATCCGATGGCAGGAGCCAGGTACTTATCCTGGTCTCCCATGGGGTGCAGGGCCCAAGTACTTGGGCCATCCTCCACTGCACTCCCTGGCCACAGCAGAGAGCTGGCCTGGAAGAGGGGCAACCGGGACAGAATCTGGGACCCCGACCGGTGTGCCGGTGCCGCAAGGTGGAGGATTAGCCTAGTGAGCCGTGGCGCCGGCCGATTCTTCATTATCTTTTAACTGTTGAATAACGTTCCATTGCATGGATTTTATATATATATATATATATATATATATATATATATATATATATATATGTAGTCCATTCATTAGTTTATGGGCATTGGAGAATTTTCTAGTTTTGGGATGTTGTGTACAATGCTGGCATGAACACTGATGTACAGGTGTATGTGGGAACATGTGTTTTCTTTAAGATTTATTTATTTATTTGAAATTCAGAGTTACACCAAGAGAGGAGAGGCAGAGAGAGAGAGAGAGAGAGAGAGAGAGAGATATGTCTTCCATCCAGTGGTTCACTCCCCAATTGGTCACAACGGCCGGAGCTGCGCTGATCCAAAGCCAGGAGCCAGGAGCTTCTTTTGGGTCTCCTATGCAGGTGCAGTGGCCCAAGGTCTTGGGCCATCATCTACTGCCTTCCCAGGCCATAGCAGAGAGCTGGATGGGAAGTGGAACAGCCGGGACTCGAACAGGCACCTATATGGGATGCTGGCGCTTCAGGCTAGGGTGTTAACCTGCTGCACCACAGTGCTAGCCCCAAACATGTGTTTTCATCTTGTGGGATATACAGCTAGCAGTAGAAATGTTAGGTCATATGATAACTCTGTGTGTAATGCTTTGAAGAACTGCCCGATCTATTTTCCAAAGTGTCTGCACCATTTTACAATAACACCAGAAATCTGTAACACTTCTAATGCCGCTATAGCCTTGCCAACCCTTGTTATGTGGATCTTTTTGATTCATCCATTTATTGTTTCATTTATTCATTCAACAGTTAATTACTGAGCCCTGTATGTGCTAGAGAGTGGGTATTATGGACAGCAAAACCTAGCAGTGTTATTGGGGGAATAGATAGTAATCAAAGGATGATAGAAATAAGGATTAAACGTGTAATTGTGGGAAAGATTATAAGGGGAAAAAGTGGTTGATGGTAACAGATAACACACCAGGAAGAGTTGATGCTGTCCAGGGATTCGGAAAGTTTTTCTTAGGAGGCAGTGATTGGGCTGATTGGATGGGATAAAAATTAAGTAGATATTTCTTTTTTTAACTTTTATTTAATAAATATAAATTTCCAAAATAGAACTTTTGGATTATAGCAGCTTCCCCCCACCATAACCTCCCTCCACCCGCAACCATCCTATCTCCCACTCCCTCTCCCATCCCATTCACATCAAGATTAATTTTCAATGGCCTAAATGAAAGATCTCTGTGAGTGAGATCCCAGCGGAAAGAACAGGCCATCAAAGAAGGAGGTACCTTTCTCTGAAGGGAGAAGAGAACTTCCACTTTGACCATGGCCTTGTCTAAATAATATCGGAGTTGGCAAACTCAAAAGGCTTCCATAGCCTTGGCAGCTCATGACAAGAGCCTCGGGTAATTACTGACACCATAAACAAGAGTGTCAATTGTTAAGTCAACAACAGGAGTCACTGTGCCATGTAGGATCCCATGTAAGATCTCTGTCCTTAATGTGTTGTACAATGTGAATTAATGCTATAACTAGTACTCAAACAGTACTTTACACTTTGTGTTTCTGTGTGGGTGCAAACTGTTGAAATCTTTACTTAGTATATACTCAATTGATCTTAAGGAGATATTTCTGAGCAATGTCCTTAATGCCTCACGTCCCTATGCCTCATTTCTTCATTTATATCAAAGATATAGCCAGATTCAGATAACAGTGGCTTTGGATACTCAAGGAAAGCTTTTGTTAGACACAGATTTTATCCCTCAATTAGGGATCCTTTGGTTTTTAAATGTGATCTCCTTGCTAGAAGAGATCTCTAGATAAACGATGATGAGGATGGCAACGATGATTATGTTGAAGACAGGTGCTGATGATTTAGTGGATGTCTTCTACATAGAAGGCACTGTGCTAAATTCTTCACAACATCACATTTGTGCTTCACAGTGACACAGCAAGAGAAATTCAGCATGAGATTAGAAAGGAGAGAATGAGAAGGGCATGCAGTTCGTGTGTTAGAGTCGACTGCCCGAAAAACGTCACCAAGAGACATCTCTTATGCAAACAGCAAGGGGAAGCTTTATTGATTATCCAGCATGCTGGGGCTGTCTGATCATACATGAACAGAGCAGCCCCGAATAACCAAAGGTTAGGGTTTATAAAGGCAAAAACCGCAAAACCGGGAAGGGGAAGAGAATACACGGTTGTTAAGTGGTTGCTAAAGTCTTACAATCAGCAATTATGATCTTAAGACATAGACAAATTATATCTTTATTATTAGCCCAGGTAACCCAGGTGCAACCTTTTTACTTTTAAGCTTGAGCAATCATGCTAGGGGGTTTTTGTGCGTTGCCAAGGGTGATGTAGTGCACTGCTATTGTCCGACTATTTGAGATCATAGTTTCAGACCAGAGTCTCACGGTGGGGGGGGGGGGCGGGTGCTTTCCCAGAATGCAGTCTCAAGTGCTCCAAAATGGAGTCCCTACTGTCAAGGTGCTACTTCACTCTGTCTTATTTTCACGGCTGCACCAGGAAGGTTTAAACCTGTAAGCTTAAGCTTAACTTTTTATACCCGCACATATACAATTTTAACTCTTCAGTGTAGGAAGGAACTGGGCTTATTGTTGAACACATTATTGTAAAGAGAATATTTCCAAGTCCATGCTCAGAAAATACCTGAAATAGATAGTAGGTTTTGGAAAATATGTTTTTATGTAATTTAATTCAATTTTTAGTCAGAGTATTTTATTTTTCAAATATGGAATACAATTTCTTTTATTTCAAATTACTTCTCTAGTATTAAACTAAATGGTTCAGCTTAATCACATATAAAAAACTTTCCAGTACATAGGCCTAGATTCCAAATCTTGCTACAAATTAGTTTCTAGCCCAGGCAATAAATGGATACCTGGAGGAAATTCAAAAAGCAAAACCACTTTAATTAGGTTTGAAAGTGTCTCCAATCAGTTTCAGAATAGCTGTCACTGGATTTATGATGCACCTCCCAAACTGTAGCTTTTCATATCCAGCTAAAGTGAGAAGGCCCCAGAGAAACTGAGTATGATTTCTTGAGACCTAAATATTTATCTCCTCTAATAAATGCTCCTAGAAAATATGGGCAAGAAGATGGAAGGATAACCGGGCTTAGCTTAAGCCAAGCCTGTCAGACTCTATCTTTGTTTTCACTTAAAAGCAAGAGTTTTAGAAGGATTAATCCAAACAAACCTTCCCTCACTAATCTTCCACACATCAGTCACATTCACTTCCACATCTGTGCCCAAATGACAGTAACTTGGGGCTTTACCAGAGTGGGAACCAGCCCTGAGACCCAGAGAAGTCAAGGGAACCAGGACTCTAACCCATGTCATCCCAACTCCAACTTGAAAGAAAATGTTAGTAATAAAAAAAATTGTGATCAGTCCTTTCATACATTACTTTTCTGCTGTTTTGAAATTGACTCACCTGTTAATTTCTGTTGGATTCTTCTTTCCTTGTTTTCTAAGTCATAACAATGTGGTACATGGCAAAAGCAAAACAAAACAAAACAAAAAAACAACCAAACACCTTCATGCAGCATGGTACCCTGGAGATTGCATGGAGATTGGAGCTGGGAAAATGGCTGTCGTCACTTCTTGGTGACTTGGCTTTGTGCTTGCCTGCTGTGACCCTCAGTCTCTTCTGAGTAGAGAGAAGGAACACTCAGGGTAGAAAGCTGTGGTGAATATGCTGGGGTAAAATACCTGGTGGGATCTAAATTTCCATCTCTGTTACTGATGATATAAAATTTAGAAAGGTACAGTTAGGTTTGGCAAGAGGCATGTGCAAGGTCCCCTTGAGAGTTAATGTGGGATGCTGCATCAGGTCAGTAAGTCTCAGTGGCACTTATCCCTGAGCCTCCTCAAACAGCGCTTTTTATTTTTGCATGAGTGTGGTAGTAATCACAAAGAAAGGGCATTTGGGCTAAAATTCTTAATATCTCCATAATGTGCTAGATACTCCGCCAAGTGCTTTGTAGGTATCATCTCATCTAGTCCCCACAGCAAATCTATGTGATTGGTAAAATTGTCATGCGCATTTCACAGATGGAAGCCCAGTATCGATTGGTTCAGCTTGCTTAACTTGGCCCAGTGAAATTATTTCCTTCCGCTCTAACTTCTTTGCCTTCTGTTTCCTTGCTGTCATTAAAGTGACTTTCCAATGGCAATCATAATGTGTTTCCCTGGATGAGTGTCATGAAATTTGATCTGCAAGAAGGCAGTAGGCAGAATAGTGTCCCCTTGCCCTTCCCAAAGATGTTCATATTCTAATCCCAGAACCTCTGAAAATAGTAGCTGATGTGACAGTGAAAACCTTGAGTATGGAGAATTCTTTGGGTTGTGGGTGGGCCTAACGTAATCTTTAGGATTCTCTGAAAAATCAGAGAAGGAGAAATGGGGGCAAAGCTGCAGAGATTGGTATGATATGCTTTGAAGATGGAGCAAGCGGCCAGTGCCAAGGAACAAGTTTGGCCTGCAGAAGCTGTAAAAGGCCAGGAGATGGATTCTCCCATGGAGCCTGCAGAGGGCCTGATTTGAGCTGATGCTGCAGTTTTATCCCCGTGAGATTCATTTTGATTTCTGACTTCAGGAGCTCCAGGGTATTGGGTTTTAAGCCAGTAAAGTTGTGTTGATTTAAGCCACTACGCCAAATGATAGTTCATGGCAAAGAAACCAGCCAACGCACTGTCATAAGCATTCAAACAAGCATAACCCTGCTGTGGAATATAGAGAAACATGCAGAGATGCAGTGGATTGGGAAGCCCGCCTGTGAGGTCAAGGCCCACAGCTTGAGAGCGTAGCTGCTGGAATCCAAAGCCGGGTCTTTCTGGCCGTGTCCACTCTGCTTCTTAATAAATAGGAACTTTGCACAAGGTCACACAGCTGTTTGCTGGCTGAGCTTGGCTAGAAATGTGCTCTCACTCTCTATATACGTTTTCTTGAAGGCAAATGAAGAGATTCAGATACGAACACAGACTCGTCAGTGGATGAGGGTCTGCAACCTGGTCCTCCTCTTTCCACACAACTCAATTGTAAAAGCAACTGAGAGTGGTGCTCATTCGTCAGGCATGGCTGGCCGGGCATACTCACAGTCCTTTGCAAATGATTAATTGGCATAGTACTGAGCTCAGTGTGAAATAATCACTAGTGAAGTGGTTAATGTTTGCTAAATGTTGCTGAATGCACCACCACCCATAGTTGAAGAGTCCCTGTTAGAGGGATCTCTTCAGGTATAAACAAGGTTTGGGGTTGCTCACAGGTCAGGGCATACTCTCATGAACATCTGCCCTCCCTGGTCCTGAGATTGAGATGTAACTGCATGACAGGGTTGCTCTCTGGAGGGAGGGAAGGCATCTAAACATGGCTACAACCCTTGTGTTGTTACACTTCACAGATGACTTAATTTTCATAGTGAAGTATTATGATTTTTCTTCCCAAAATATGGAAACTGAGGCAGAAATCTGGGGACCAGCAGGATTAGAAGTAGTACTGGGGGTCCGGCGCCGCGGCTCACTAGGCTAATCCTCCGCCTTGCGGCGCCGGCACACTGGGTTCTAGTCCCGGTCAGGGCGCCGGATTCTGTCCCGGTTGCCCCTCTTTCAGGCCAGCTCTCTGCTGTGGCCAGGGAAGTACAGTGGAGGATGGCCCAAGTACTTGGGCCCTGCACCCCATGGGAGACCAGGATAAGTACCTGGCTCCTGCCATCGGATCAGCGTGGTGTGCCGGCCCCCGCGCACTGGCCACGGCGGCTATTGGAGGGTGAACCAATGGCAAAGGAAGACCTTTCTCTCTGTCTCTCTCTCACACTGTCCATTCTGCCTGTCAAAAAAAAAAAAAAAAAGTAGTACTGGGAATCTTAGATGTGTGGAGCTAGTGGGGAAAACCCACAGTTGTAATTCATACCTCTGGATAATCAAAAAGCGTTTACTGAGCCCTGTTCCACTTAACAGGAGTCTTCAAATCCTGTTATTGGTTAACACATTAACAGGTATCTCATTTGGACATGCAAATATCCCAAATAGAGATGATCTAAATCTATCTGAGACATGGAGGGCTGGAAACTATCCTAGCACAAAATTTAAAGATTTGAGTTGTACCTGTCTTAATTTCTTTTAACCTTGAGTAACTTAGTCCCTCTCTCTGGATTTTCATGCCTATGGAAGCAGCATAGTATAGAGAAATCACATAGATTTTGAAGACAGGCACAGCTAGAATAAAATCTGTTTCAGCAACAGACTAATAGTGGGCTTAAGCAAGTCACTTAATATTGCTCACGTGACCTTCCAGTATTATCAAAAAATGAAGATAATAATATGCAGCTTATAGGGCTCCATAAGAGCTGTAAATAATGACACACATTTAGAAGGCAAGTTGTTGCATAGCAATCTCTCAAAAGAGGCAGCTCTACATGGGAGAATGTTTGACTAAGTGATCTCTAGACCCTTGCATGAACTGTCACTATTTTTTCAAACATGTTGACTTCTGTTTATGGGAGAACTTACTACAAACCAACTACTATGCCAAGGGCTAGGTTTGTATTATCCCATTAAATCATTGTAATTTTTAAGAGATACTACCAAAACCCTTGCAAATAAGGACTCCTGGGCATAGGGAAGAAAAGAAAGCTGCCTCTGTCATAAAGATTGTGATGGAGCCAAGAGCTGAATCTAAATATCAATGATTCCAGAGCTCCACTGTTAAAATATACCTGTTCTTATATACCAGCATATGTTATTACTTTTGTAGGAAATACTGGACCCAGGTTTCCTCTTCTCCTCTAGTTCAAGTATACAAGCTGATGACATTGTCAGTCTTTGTGGATACCTTAATGGCATCGAGTCAAAACCCAGCACCAACCCTATAAATACTTTCAACAAAAGTTGTAACTGAAAACATTTGTCAGTGCCGTGAAGAAAGTGAGAGTCGGATATCTGATGGTGCATGTTCTCAGTGAATGGAAGAGTTATTTGAATTGATCATGAAAATCAAGATGCTTGACTATCAGCTCAGTTTTTGCTCTATTATTGCATGTCGTAGGTTAGACAATTGGTGAGGAGGTAGATTATTGAATTCCCTATCTCCACATTTTCTGAGCTGCTATAACCTGCCAGGCAGACTACTAGGGACAACGAAGAGGAAGATATTTTTTTGACTGTGAAAAGTACTGATCTGTAGCATTTATATAGAGTAATTGATCCCACCAAGGCCCATTTAAAGCTGCAAATACAAGGACCCTGAACTTATAGTAGGGAAGAATTGTACTTGCCTCTTGGACTCCATCTCTCTGCTACCGGCTTCTTAAATGCTTGTGTGCGCTTTTCAGGGATACATGCTCCTGCTGTGCTGACTTAATGTCCACTCATCCTTCAGGTCTCTGCTCAAATGTCACTTCCTTAGAAACTTTGCCTGGACTCGTGTCCCAGATGGAGATTCTTGTGAGAGCTGATGAGGCTTTTCCCATCTGTCCCACTGTTTCATGAGATACAAGACAGCTGAATCCCTCAAGAGAGAAATACTGGCTATGCCCACTAGTGAGAAGCCTTGGGTTGGTTTTGGAGACCAGTGTCATGTGCACACAACCTTGAAGCAAACATTTCCTGTTAAAATGACTGTTGGAGACAGTCCTAAGTCCCAAGGCAACTTTTGAATCAGATCAAACCCAATCTCTGCATAAAATAGCTAAAAAGAGTCAGATCATCTGAAGACATTGATTTAGTAAAAGGTTTTGGAAATATTAAAGCAGCACTATTGCCTTCTCTCTAGAGGTTACTGAGCTGATTTGGATAAAATAAGAAATGACTTGACCCCTTAGCCTTGAACAAAATCAGGACAAAATTAAATATTTGAACTTTAAACAAGTTCCCCCAACTTCACCCCTATGGGTGTGTCATGCTTCTGCTTTCCACTCCTAATCTCCACTCATGGCCCACTAGGGGATGTCCTGACAGAGGTCATCTCTTCCTGGGGTATTTCTGGCCTCATTCAAAATAGGAAAGACCCCAAGTCTCCTGAGGTTCTTGTCTCATGAGATTTCCCATCTGAATCTGCAGTCCCGAGAGAGAGGGTGGGGGGGAGCGTTTGCAGGACTTGCCTGCTGGTCGAACTAAAGAGAGCCTCCAACTCTTCAGAGGGTCACATGTTACCATTTGTCGCCATGACTGGGGAAATTGATTTTTCTCATCTGCTGTAACATCAAGAGCTTTCTGGTGTCTCCTCTTGGAGACAATAGGCCTGTGTAGAGACACTCTTATTGAACTCTTCTGTGCAGAGAGTGAGGGGGAAGCAAAGTTATGAAGAACAATCATAGACTTAATCTTTACAAGCCACATACCCTTGTAGCTGACATTCACAGAGCTCCCACCGTGACCCAGATTCATGCAAGCATTTCACATGCAAGATCTCATGTAATCCTCACAAGGACTCGACACATTAGTGGTTCCCACATTAGCACTGCGCATGCCAGGATTCAGAGTGATTAGCCAGATTGTCTATAGTGACAGCGAGTGTAAGAGGTATGTAGCAAAATGGACACTCAAATCTAGGTCTGATGCTAAGCTCAGAACTGTACCGATATCCCACCTAACAGAAGTTGACAGAACAAAGCAGTTTCATGCAGGAAAGAAGAATTTTTTGGTGAGCACATCACAGAGGCTGTATTTCCTTACTTCCACTGACAAAGCTACTCCTCCTCAGAAACTTGCCTGAGTGTCTTCCAGATCTTGCAGACAGATAGAAGCCATGGACACGTAGGACAGTGTCCTGTCTGCCTTTCTGTTGCTAAGCACGCAATACTACAGACTGCGTAAGTTATAAAGAAGAGTTTTATTTTGGCTCATGGTTCAGGTTTAAGGTTGAGAGAGCTCATCTCTGGATGGCCATTTTTCTGGCAGGATCCTGAGTTGGCCCAAGGCATCTCATAGTGAGAGACAGGGAGTGTGGGTGTGTGCGTGTTCTGGTTTCTCTCCCTCTTCTTATAAAGCCGCCAGTATTCAGTCATGCGAGCTGCACCCTGACGACTTTATCTAGTCCTAATCCCTCCCAGAGGCCCCACCTCTGTATACCACATTCAGATTAAGTTTCCATCCTCTCAATACCTCACCTTGGGGAATAATTCCAGCATGAGCTTCAGAGGGGACAGCCCATATTCTAAACACAGCAGATATGTCCAAGGTCACCAGCAGATGTGGCTTTTAACCTAAGGCCATTTTCTTTATCCTCCAGCCTCCTGCTTAAGGACATAATTGGCTCGCCTTCTCATTTCTTCATACAGAGCCAAGCTGCATGATAGGTCTTAAATAAACAGTGAAAAAATGTTTTTAATAACTTTATTCCCATTGCACATATACATGTCTTGGATTCAACAACAGGAAATATTTGGGTCTTTCATGACTGATTTCAACATTTTTTTAAACTTTTCCACACATAATAGCTGTCTTAAAAGCCTTCTGTTTTTTCTCACCATGCAGTCAAGGGCCAGTAACCTGCTTCTGGTGTAGTACAGAGGCCATGAAAGTGGAATTTCCTAAATACAGTTTGAATGACAGATTCTGCCTTAAGGCTGCCTCTGCTGTTTGTCCTGAATAAACAGTGCTCAAGGTGCTGAGTGGATTCTGCATTTAGCCTTCTCTGCTACAAACAGCTTCACTGTAGGTGAGGGCAGCTGACTTGCTGGGACCTCCTGAGGATCTGAGGAGGAGGCCAGGCCAGAGTCTGGCTCAGTAAAGGATTGGGTGGCTTTAAAATTGGCCTGAAAATGTTAAGTCAAGCAGACTAAAGAGATCTGTTCAAATTATGGGGAAAATCTAGGGTGATTCTAGTCTAAGCAGTTGAGTTTGAAGGGTGATGGGTAAATTCCAAGTTAGATCATGTGGTCGTTATATCAGATCTGACCCCATTAAAAGTGGTTGAATAAACCAGAGGGAGGTAAGTTACACCTGCTGATCACTTTATCTGTGTCATGCTTTATGCATGGGTTAGATTAATATAGGGCTGTAGGATAGGATAGACTGGACTGCATCCCAAGCCTGCATCTTCAGCTAGGAGAATGGAGCAAAGAGATTGTTCATACTGGGTCGCCTCCTTAATTCTTTGTTTTTTGGGGGGAGTCATGGCAGAATTCTACTCAGCTAAACTCAATAGGATAGGTTCCTTGCAGGGAGGAAGTGTCCAGTTAACAGAAGCAAAGAGAGTGTGAATGGAGCAGGCCCAAACAACAAGTGTGCATTTCCATGATTGAGTTCCAAGTCCTCTCTGATGTTGGTGCTAGGGAGTTTATCTCTGCACTGAGGGCAGGATGTGCCTTAGTGGGGGAGGAACCATCCAGAATTCCAGATTCTGGAAGATTGAGATGAACAACAGAGTAGCACATTTTACTCTAATGAAAGATAAGCTCCCTAGTTATTCAGGGGAAATGAAAAAGTAATTCTCTACCTTAAAAGGAATGGGTAATTTACACAAAGGCCATGGGCTCACTGCCAGGCATCAATAAAGTAAAAGCCAGAGGGAGAGGAGGATCCCAGTCTTAAGGAGGATAGGGTCAACCATTCTCACTATGTTAGGCGTATTAACCAAAAAGAGAGGCACGGGGCCCTTGCTGTGGTGTAGCAGGTAAAGCCGCCACCTGCAGTGCCAGCATCCTATGTGGGCGCTGGTTCGAGTCCCGGCTGCTCCACTTTGGATTCATCCCTCTGCTATGGCCTGGGAAAGCAGGAGAAGATGCTCCAGGTCCTTGGACTCCTGTACCCATATGGGAGACCTGGAAGAAACTCCAGGCTCCTGGCTTTAGATTGGCCCAGGTTTGGCTGTCGTGGCCATTTGGGAAGTGAATCAGTGGATGGAAGAATCTCTCTCTCTCTTCCTCTCTCTCTGCCTCTGCCTCTCTGTTACTCTGCCTTTTGATAAATAAATTTTTTAAAAAAGAAAGAAAACCATTTTAAAAAGACAGGGAGGCACAGCCTGTCTGACTTCAGCACCCTGAGAGATGCATGGAAGGGTGGTTATGGTTGAACTGGGAGAGGGTATGTAATTACACTGTAGCCTCCAAACCAAGTGCAGAATCCAACACAGCTTACTCTTCAGCAAATTTTTGTGCAAGCTGCAGGATACAGCTTGTGAGGTATAGATAGCATTTTGAGTATTTCCAACATAGAAGGAAATCCATTAAAAGATCATTTTAAGAAAGCGTCCAATACCTAGAGCAGGTAGGAATACCGTAAGACGTCACAATGTGGTCTAGTTTAAAATGTTGGATGGAAGTGCCACATTGAGGGAGTTTCTCCAACGTTCCATCCTGGGGGCTGTAAGTCTCTGTTGGTGTTGCTCAAAGAGGTCATGTAGTGCCTGGAAGGAAAAGATGAGGTCAAGATGAGGCTGAAAGGAGAAGAAGAAAAGCCCCTCCTTATCTACACATCCTGAAAAGGAGCTGAGACTTTGTCCTGTAGGCAGTAGGGAAGCATGGATTTCTAAGTGGGGCGATATGATCAGGTTCATAGCTGCAAAGGCTGGAGTTGGAGGGTTAAGGAGAATAAAAATGAAAGGAAGGAAAGTGGCATGGTTCACAAGAGGAATGCTCAGTGAGAGCTGAGACATGCAGGTGGAACTCAAGTGAAATATCAGATTTAATGTGGGAGTGACTGTCTATTTTTGCTTACCATTTTATCCCAGGGACTACAAAGTGTCATCTAGATGTATGTATGTATGTACGTATATATGTATGGGTATGGTCATTCTAAATTATCCCAGGGTGTGTGTGTGGGTGGGTGTGTGGAGAGACAGACAGACAGACAGACTACCATGTATATGATGATGCTTCAAAAAGTTCATGGAAAATTCATGTTATAAAATAATGCCTAGATTTCAAAAACTTTTTGCATCCAAATAAGCTTATCTTTTAATTTCATTTTCATGATGTCTTTGTGCCTTTATATGCATGTGCACCCACAAACTTACAGAATCTTAAAGGAGTTCACGGAACAAACGTACTATGCCAAAAAAGATTTGTAACAAATAAACGTCCTTTGATTCCATTTTCGATGGGCTTCTTAGAGCCCCCTTGTTTGCTGAATAAGTACCAGAAGTGTTCTTGTGAAGTTGAAGGACCTCCGTACAAATGAGTATTCAACAGCTGGTTAGAGCAGGAAGGCGGGGAGTTGGCTGTAAGCTACACATCGCTAATTAGATATCTCCCAGTGACCAGAGAGCTGACTCAGGGTGTATGAGCACGTGTTGGAGGGTGTTGAGGGCAGCAGTCTAAAGCTCATGGTTTCCTTACAATCTTTCCTGCTCCCTCACCTTTGACCTTGGAGGTGCCTCTCCCTGGACCCTCCCTGCCCCTGCATGTCTCTTGGAGCTGGTTCTCAGCTACTCAAGTTACTAGTCCTTGCTTACCCTAAAGGTCATCACACACAGCATTCCTTCTCCACCCCACTCGGGGATTCTTAAATGTTGCCTTATTTCCATACTCCCAGCAATTTCTAGCAAATTCATTCCGACTCATTTTTTAATAAGCTCCTGGGTCTTTAGATCAGACCTTAAGTATTTCACTTGATTTGTATTTGGGGTGGGGAGGGGAGAAAAAAACGACCAATGAAACATGATGGCCCTCTATTAAATGGCAAATATTTATTGGACTTTTTGAAATATACCCAATACTTTGAGGCCTCTAGGAAAATAATAAAACTGTACACTAAGCAACCTGTGAAATTCACCACTCAGTACCTGAAGCTCAGCTGTCCCCGTTGGTGTTTGTGGGTGCAGGCCACTTGGGCCTGACTGTCTTGATGAACAGAGAGAGAGTGGTGCAGAAACACTGCCTACAACTCAGTGATTCTTCGTCATGGGACAACTAACACGATAATAATAATCTACCTTGTGCATTCTTTCTAACCTCTTGCTTTGGTGTGTGAGTTGCCTCTCTGGCCTTCAATAGACTTAGAGGAATTTACCTGATGATTTTTAAAGTGTAATTTTACCACAGTCAGAAGAATATAAATGGCATAATTGACCAGAATTGTCATTTCTTGAGTCTCACCTGTGATATTCAGAATATCCAGAAAACAAAGAAACCAATGTTTGTTGAGCACCTACTATGTGCCAGGCATTAAGTTAAGTGCTCTTTTGATCCATTCTCATTTAATCTTCATGAGATTTCTGTATTGAAATTTTTATTATCTCTTATAAATTAGAAAAGGGCAGCTCAAGAGAACTTGAGCAAGTTGAGGCTTACATAAGAAGTAAGGTATTCAGGATTCACACTGATGTCTGCCTGTTAACTTTGCTTTTTAAGAGCTGTGGTTTCAGGAACAGCACTGCCAGCTGCTATCAGTTTTGTGTCCAGTCCCTGGCTTCATTTCTGGATGATTCTAGTCTAGAGGGTAGGAGGATGGGCTCATAAGCATGTTTGAGTCTTTGTTAGCACATGGTTGATCTCAGGCAGGTAATGTCAGAATCTGTAATCCAAAACAGTGAAAGCTAAATGTTCTAACATCCAAAGCATCTTATGCAGCAACATGATACACTAAAATATTGTATAGTGTTATTTTCAGCCTATGTATATAAAGTAAGCATAAAATGTAAGTGAATTTTGGATTTAGACTTGAATCTAATCCTCAAGACATCTCATTACATATATGCAAATATTGTAAAATCTGAAAACTTCTGAAATTCAAAGCACTTCTGTCCCCAAACATTTCAGATAAGGGATATTCAGTCTGTAATTTTGGACCTCAGTTCCATAAAATGGAAATGGAGTTTATCAAAGTAATTTTGAGGATTATAGTAGATGATTTTTAGAGAGAAAAGAGTAAATATTTCAATAGGTGCTCCATAAACATCAAATACTCATTTTTCTGTACTGTGTCACTTCCTAGAACCTCTGCTGTTTCATTAATAAATTGGGAAGATTACTCCAGGAACTTTTGTACTCACACGAGAGTACTTAAAGGGTTAAAATGGTAGTATACTGAAGAGCTTTGTGCAGTATGAATCAATCCATTTTCTCTCTCCTTCCCACTCTCTCTCTCCTTCTCTGCTCATGACTATTTTTAATGTGTTCTTAGAATTTCTATTGGCTCTGAGGTGAGTCTGCATCCAGGGCTCTGTTGAGCCAGGACTTGGGGCTTGGTGATGTTTGACAGGTGAGGCTGTATATTCAGTTCTGACAGCTGCAGTAACAAATGGCCACAACGTTAATGACTTAATACAGCACACATTATTCCTTCACAGTTAAGGTCGGATGTTTAGAATTTCTGCTGCCAGGCTGAAATGAAGGTGTCTGCAGAGCTGTCCCCGTCAAGAAGGTTCAGGGGAGGATCTATTTGTCACTCCTGTGGGTCTGGAGGCCAGTGTTCCTTGGTGGTGGCCCCAGTAACCTAATTTCTGCCTCTGTAATTACAGTGCCTTTTTCTCTTAGGTGAAGTCAGGTTGTCGTCCTTCTCCATCTTGTAAAGACCATTGTGGTTGCCTTGGGCCCATCCAAATAATCCAGAATAATCTCCTGACCTCAACGATCTCACCTTAATCACATCAGCCAAGTCCCTTTGGCTGTGTAAGGGAACATATCCATAGGTCCCGCAGTGAGGACATGGGTATTTATTCAGTTGGCACCAGGCATGCTAACAGAAGAAGCCTGCCACCAAGTCTGGGAGGAGAATGAGCTGTTTTATAGGGAAGTGTGGATTGCCCTTGTGTCTCTTCCTAATTTGCTTTGTCTTCTCTCTCTTCCCTCCGTCTTCCCTCTCTTTTCCTCTTTCCCTTCCCTTCCCCCTTCCCTCCCCTCCGACTATTCCCTCCCCTTCTTCTCTTCCCTCCCCTCCTAACATGCTCCCTTCCCTTTCCTCCCCTCCCACCATTCGCCCTCCCCTCCTTTTCCTTTCCACCAGTGATTTATTCATTGATGAATTCAGTACATTTATTGTGGTAATTTCTATGGGTACAGAGATAAAAGCAGTATCCTGTTCTGGGGGAGTTCTAAGTTACTGGAATTGGTGGGAAGCAAATAGTCATTGATAGGAAACCTGGAATGAGGCACCTCATTCTGACCAGGAGTGGGCGTGGTGTAGCAGGAAGACCAGAGCACCTGAACCAGACAGTTTGACATGAATGGTAGCCACCTTCCCATTGACTGGCCAGCCCCTATATGATCAGGGTCTCAAGGTTTCCAAGCCTCAGTTTTTTCAGGTGCAGCAGAGTGGTTATGGGCGGAGGTGCAGTGACAGTCAGCAAGGTAACGTCGTTGTCGACTGGCGTCTCTTGCACCTGCCTCCCTCTCCTCCTGGTTTGCAGACTTTTGACTTGGGCACTGCTAGAGACGGTTACATGCAATCAGAGGTTGCCATGAGGCTTCTTCTCAGCAGCCCAAACTCTCAGTTATTCTAATTCTTTAGTAATTATTGTCCGTGGCATTGGCTTGTGGTTTAAGACGGTGTTTCCTGGAATTTCCCTAAAAGTAATGCAAACTGGATGCCTTAAAACAGCACACATTTGTTCTTTCAAGTCTGTGGAGGCCCCAAATCTAAAATCCAAGAGCCAGGAGGGCTGGTGTCTTCTGGAGCTACTGAGGGAGGAACTGTCCCTGGCCTCTCTCCCAGCACCAGGTGGTTGCCTGTGATGCTAGGTATACTTTGTGATGTAGCCGCATCACCCCAGTCTCTGTCTCCACCTTCACGTGACCTTCTTCTCTGTGTCCATCTCTGTCTCTTAAAAGGACGCTGTCACAGGATTTAGTGCCCAGCCACATCTGGTGTGATCTCCTCTACATCTTTGCCTTAGTCATACCTGCAGAGGCCCTTTATCCAAGTATGGTTGTGTTTTGAGGTTTCAGGTGAGATTTTTGATTCTAGTTTTTGGGTAACATTATTCAGGCCATACAGAGAGATAATATTTATAGTACTAAGAAAATATTTAGATAAAATGCTACTAGTGTTTGATGCTTAATTTTTTCAAATGTGTTTTTAGCTGCTTTGAGATAAAAATGATTTTCCTTTGGCACATTGAAGAGGATAAATCTATGCATGGACTCATTGCTAAATGATAAATGATACTTTTATGATGTTATAATGCTCTCCTTGGTAGGTAACACCATTTAAATACATGACTGGATTAATTGTGATAAAATGTGTTATTTAGAATTGTTAGATCTGTATTCCCAAGTGAGAGTGATTGTAGTTTGGAGTATTTCAGCTTACAGTCAAATTAACTTCTTCAAACAAATAGAATTATCTATCTTCTTTATATGTTCTGGATAGGGTTATATAGTGTAAAAATTAGTTAATACTTGAAATAACTTGTCTACTCAACTGCTAGACCAAGGGCCATTTTACATAAGTCTTTGTATGAAACTTTTTTTAATTGTACCCAAATAAATAGTTACTGATCTAGGCAGATGGGTCGATTTTAATAACCTCATAGAAAATGTTTTAACATTTTGCTGTGATTCTTCAAATTAATTAGTTGAGTTTGGTCTTTTATTCTCTTAAAAAAAAAAAAAAACACAGCCCTGCTTCTTGTACATACATTATACTTTTGTATTTCATCACCTACACCCACCCTTTATTCGGGAGGAATTTCTTGAGCCCTTTTTCTTTTTCTTTTCTTTCTTTTTTTTTGAAGATACATTTATTTGCTTGAAAGTCGGAGTTACACACAGAAGGAGAGGCAGAAAGAGAGAAAGAGAGGTCTTCCATCCCGTGGTTCACTCCGCATACGGCTGCAATGGCCGTATGTGCTGATCTGAAGCCAGGAGCCAGGAGCTTCTTTCGGATCACCCACGTGGGTGCAGGGGCCCAAGAACTTGGGCCATCTTCTACTGCTTTCCTAGGCCATAGCAGAGAGCTGGATTGGAAGTGGAGCAGCTGGGACACAAACTGGCGCCCATATGGGATGCCAGCTCTGCAGGTGGTGGCTTTACTCACTATGCCACAGCACCAGCCCTGAGCCCATTTTATTTTCTACCCTACATAAAAATATCATCTCTTAGATATATTGATTAGTTATGTGCCTTTTATTTTTCTTAATTTTCTAGGTTACCATTGTGTATAGTTTTCCTTCTTCACTGATTTTATGGCCTGAGCCTAGAAAGTAAGAAGCCCATGCCCACATCTGGATACCCAGGTTGAATCCAAGCTCTGGCTGCTGACTGCAGTTTGCTGCTGGTGCATACCCTGGGAGACAGCAGTGAACTCCTACCCTCAACGTGGGAAAGTTCCAAGCTCTTGGCTTTGGCCCATCCCAACCCTGGCTGTTAGGGACACTGGGGAGTGAACCAGCAGATGGGCCCTCTTCCTGTCTTTCTCTTGTTTTTCTACTTCTCAAATAAATAAATAACATGTTTTTTTAAAAAAAAAAGGTTAAAGTTTTGGCCAGGGCCGCGGCCCACTAGGCTAATCCTCCGCCTTGTGGCACCAGCACACCGGGTTCTAGTCCCGGTCGGGGCGCCGGATTCTGTCCTGGTTGCCCCTCTTCCAGGCCAGCTCTCTGCTGTGGCCAGAGAGTGCATTGGAGGATGGCCCAAGTGCTTGGGCCCTGCACCCCATGGGAGACCAGGAGAAGCACCTGGCTCCTGCCATCGGATCAGCGCGGTGCGCCGGCCACAGTGTGCCGGCCGCGGTGGCCATTGGAGGGTGAACCAAAGGTAAAAGGAAGACCTTTCTCTCTCCCTCTCTCTCTCTCTGTCCATTCTGCCTGTCAAACAAACAAACAAACAAAAAAAGGTTAAAGTTTTAGTATAAATATTTTTAAATGAGTGCATACAAAGGGTCTTAAAATCTCTTGTGAAAATGCATATTGTGAAAAGTCTCTGCATGGATTTCAAACAAATTTTGAGCCATCCCTAAGCTTATCTTTTAATTCCATTTTCATGAAGTTTCTGAAGTACCTTTATATGTGTAAGCACATAAAAGACTTAAAGCTATGAAGTAACTTCAGACTACAGTGTTTGGTATATCGTCCTTGGATTTATGTATCATATACTGGCATTATATATATATTGTATAACCCCATTTACTTAGAACTGCAAATTATAATTTTAATCTTTGTCTGACCCATGAGAAATTTAAAGGTGGGCTTACTCAAAATTATTGTACCTTTTTGCTTTAATCTGTTGCTCTGTATTTCTGATCTTACTGCTTGCTGTTAAACCATAGTGTTTTGAAGACTTGGGCTTTCAGAACTTTTTTTTGATGATCAGTTTTTGTAGATATAATAGGGACATTAGAAAATAAAGATATTCTTTATAAACAAGGCACAAAACTATTATATTCCTTTTAAATAATCCTACATATTAATTAAGATGTTCTGTATCTTCATTTAATTTTAATCGCTCCCAATCTTTATAAAATCATTAATTTATACTTCATTTTGTTTGCTATCTGTCGAGTTATTAAAGACTAAATTGGGGCAGGCGCCGTGACTCAATAGGCTAATCCTCTGCCTTTGCTCGCCGGCACACAGGGTTCTAGTCCCGGTCGGGGCACCGGATTCTGTCCCAGTTGCCCCTCTTCCAGGCCAGCTCTCTGCTGTGGCCCAGGAGTGCAGTGGAGGATGGCCCAAGTGCTTGGGCCCTGCACCCCGTGGGAGACCAGGATAAAATACCTGGCTCCTGCCATCGGATCAGCACGGTGCGCCTGCCGCAGCGGCCATTGGAGGGTGAACCAATGGCAAAGGAAGACCTTTGTCTCTCTCTCTCTCACTGTCCACTCTGCCTGTTAAAAAAAAAAAAAAAAGACTAAATTGGTTAGTCTCTTTGGCATTTCTGTGAGGGATTTTTGGCTACAGACAATTCTATAATTGGCAAATTCAAATCTCCCAAACTTCTTTTGTCTATTTCTATTTTAATGGTTTGCCTTTTATATATTTTGAGGCTGTTATTTACCCACAGAGCTGCATAAAGATTACATTTACATAATTCCTTTGTATATTGTGTTGTTGATCCTCTTTAGTGCATTTTGTTTTTAATTCTGCTTTGTCTACCCTGTTTTCCACTGTCTGGATATGTCTGCATTCTCTCCTGGAGGTGGAGAAGAGATATTTTCCACTAATATTTCCCTGATATCAAGAAATTTTGAAGTTTTCTAACAAGCAAAGAAACCTGAACAGGACAAACTTAGCAATAGTTTCCATACTTTAGAAGATGGACCATTGATCCTCTGCTTCCTTCTGTCTGAAGAAGGGAGGTAAGGGTGCCCCAGTAGCTACATTTCAGAAGGCTGACTTCCAAAGCCCAGGACTCCGGCTGTGCATTGCACTGCCCCTCGTTGGGGTATGCGCAAAAAGAAAGCTATTATCAGGATAAGCATGCAGTACGTCAGCAATGGCTGTGTACGCGTTGATCCTGCCCACTATATGTGATTGCTTTGGAACTCACCGTGTATTCGAAGAGATGTTTTGAAAAAAAAAAAAAGTCATCACACCTTATCACTCTTTGATTCATAAAACTTTTATTGAGCATCTAATATAAAAAAATTTACAAGAATGGAAAATAAAACAGATATGGCCCATGCTCTGCCTGAGGGGCCTGATGGCCTGTCCCACTGGCAGACAAAACAAATAGTTGTGGTTCAGTTGTGGGTCACCTGTGCCTAGGACCCACTCCCTGGGAGAGGAGGCTGAGGTGGAGTCCTGTGACTCCCTCCTTTCTTGGAGAAGGCAGTAAGAGGTGAATTCTGTGATGTGGAAGTGCTGGTGAGGAAAATGATGTGACAGACAGTGTCATAGCCTTGGGCTAAGAGAAAATCAGCAATTAGCTGGAAAGAGATCTGCTCCCCCCCAAAAAAAATTGAACCTGGAAAAAAAGTTTCCTTAAATTTTATATTTACATATGCAAGGAAGGGGAAGGTATGGGGAGAGAACTCTGTTGTGCCAGGAGCAAGTAAGATTACAGCCCATCGACACACCCTGGAAGACTGAATTGAGAGCACTGGGAAAGTCCTGAGGTTACATTTTTCTTTTTGAAGAATGCTGCCAAATTGCTAATTTGGACTCACGTTCTTTTTCTGCAACATAGCTTTCTCTGACCTCGAAGGAGCTTGATTGTAGGCAGCCGAGTGTCTTAATGTTTGAGAACTGCCAACTCGGCTTCTCCTCCTATAAACTCTCTGGTGGATTGGTCCATAGGGTTAAATGGCTCATTGCAATTCAGCAAAGTGGATTTTATGTGCAATTAATGTTTGTTAATTTGGTTAAATGTCAAAGTATACATTTTTTGGGGAAAAGAGAAGTTCTTGCAATACAACCTCCACCCCCAACCCTGTTAAATATCAAGGGGTGAGATGTTATTTCCAAACAAATGCAGAGGCGATCATACTCAGCAGCTGCTTGAAATGAATGGATGGCACCTTCCTTAGATGTCCCTCCTGGGAAATGAGACAGTAATATGTCAGCACATCTGAGTTGGGAGTTGAACTTAAGGGGACAGTTGAAAAAAAACCCTCTAGAAAAAGATTGCCTTTCCCACCTGGCCCCTAAAGAAGAAAGAGGGGCTTTGATTGAGTTATTGGTCACCGTGTTTTAATTCCCCTTCTCTTTTTTCCCCTAATATTTTAATTTTTCTTCTTTATGTTTGCATCTTGTGTGCTGTGGTTTTGTTTTTTTGTTGTTGTTGTTGTTGTTGTTGTTGTTTTTTTGGTTTGTCCAGGGTACTAGAAGTTCAGAGATAATACTGTGACTTCTTTGTAATGGCCATTTTTTATTACATAAAGTTTACCATACATTTACTTAAAATAGATAAAGTAAAAATACATGTGGTAAAAATGCAAATAGTGGGGCCGGCACTGTGGCATAGTGGGTAAAGCCACTGCCTGCAGCACTGGCATCTCATGTGCCTGCCAGTTCTAGTCCCGGTTGCTCCACTTCTGAACCAGCTCTCTGCTATGGCCTGGGAAAGCAGTAGAAGATGGCCCAAGTCCTTGGGCCCTTGCACCCACATGGGAGACCTGGAAGAAGCTCCTGACTTCCGGACGGCTCAGCTCCAGCTGCTGTGGCCATTTGCGGAGTCAGCCAGCAGATGGAAGACCTCTCTCTCTCTCTCTCTCTCTCTGTAAATCTGCCTTTCAAATAAATAAAAAAAAATCTTTAAAAAATGTAAATATGCTAAATTGCTTGATTGTTCAGCCTTGGAACTTGTATGCTACTCAACTAGAAGAAGGGTTACCTCTTACTAAATTTACAGGGCCAAAATAGATTTAGGAATCCCTACCTTATTGTTTCTTTCATTTTTATTCTAAGTTTTTCCTTAGAATTTGATCCCCACTGTAGCTCTGTGCTGCTGCTTAAATTGTGCTTTATCCAAGCTGCAGGTGGAGCTTAGGTGTGACTTGCGAATGTCCTAGATACTTTTAATTCCTTGTCTTGTTCTCTATTAAAGAAAAAACCTGTTTCTACTGCTTTTCTCTCTTGAAGCTTCATGGAATAGTCTACTGATTAAGTCTGTCCACCGCACTCTGTGCCCACTCACTGTGCTTGATGGGGAGGTTAGGTCAGTTCCTTGTAAGACTCAGCAATGTATTCTCTTCCTTCTGTTGCTCTTCCTTTTTTTGCATCAGCTGACTTGCAGTCATCATCTCTTTCTTCCTTGTACCCTCAGAAAGCAAATACTCTGGGGCTAAGATGTGGCATCTTTGGACATGTCTTTTCATTTGTTCCTTAGGTCAGAGGGACAAAGGCCACTCTAGTGGCTCTCCCACACCATGAAAGACCCTAAAAAGACAAGTTATCATAAAGAAAATATTCCCCTGATACATGCTGTCTTAGAACATTCTCAGAGATCTAACACAACACCTTGTTAATATTTTTCAGTGGGACCAGCCACATGGACATATGACTTGACCAGTTACTTGGGGCCCCATGTACAGAAGGCGACCACTCTTGCCATATTAAAGCTGTAAGTGATCTTCTAGCAAGAGATCCCCTATGTTGATTTTGCACAAGGTCCCAGAAATAATAGAGACAGTTTTGATTCTTTGGATGAGATTCTAACCATTCTTTTGCATGTCACTAACCTAGCCAATGTAGTTGGCTAATAGATGGGAGTTTCCATCCTCCTTATCCTAAGAAGGTCAGCAATGTGTACTTAGGTCCCTAGGGCTGTGATAACACATTAATATCCCCCAGTATTCCAAGGGAAAAGTTGAGTTGAACAGTGATTCGATTTAATGTAGTATGAAAAGGAATGTATAGTTGCATTGGGTGGAAATTTCATTCACTGATAATATTTTTATGAATGAAATGGAGCAAGGCCCAAGGAACTTTTCAATTCCAGAGAACTTAGTAATGGCTTGTCTGAGAAGCTCTCTAAATTTGGGAGCCATGAAAGTGATGTCATTTTAGGTTTGCTATGTGGTCTTGTGTCTCACTTTAATTATGTAACTGATTGTTGTGCTGTGGTTGCTCTCTGTGTGTCCTCTGCATTTTGCAGAAATTATCTGTGAATTTTGTCCAAATAATAGATCATTGCTTCCCATGGAACAAGTTATGTCCAGAAACTAGACTGTGGTAAGCAACAACAAAAATTTTTTATTTTTCCTATCCCTTTATTCCAAACCTTTATTTGAATATACACTGCCTACTGGAAACCAGAAAGAAGTTCCTTCCATACACGCATTAAAAACACATCTCAACTTGGGTATATATTTTTCTGCTGAAATCCATGACTTAAAGGACCAGGGAGAATATTTTTTCCAGAACTGAAGGAGGTGCAAGTTATACATTCTCTGGGGGATGTGGTCACCTTGGAAAAACAGTCATTTGGGCAATTTTAACATTAGTGCAGAGAATAGATCAGCTGACTGTTCATACTGGTGGTATGTTCCTCTCTCACACTCACTCACTCACTCACTCACTCTCCTTCCCCCTTCTCTCTCTCCCATCTTGGTTTGTTTTTGTGATTGATGAGATTTTAATTGGGCCAATGAAGGAACGAAGGGGCATGATCCTCCCCCAGCAGAATACTCATTGCAGTACACCTGTTGAGTGGGTGGAGAATTCTGGGCAGTATTATGTCTTTGTTTTTTTTTCACCAGTTCTTGACTTGGTAGAAAAGAAATTTAGTGTTTTAAAATGCCATAGTGATCTAGACTCACTGTCTCCCACCTGGGGCTGACTCCTTCCAGGAATGACTGTGGTATTGTGAAAGATTCTCAGGAAGGAGGTGGAGAAGTCAAGATTCAAGTCCCACCTCTGTGATAGCTATGAAACGTCTGAGTCTCATTCTCACCATCCTAAAGAAGAGCTGGGCTGCAGTTAGTGCATCCCAGGGTGGCTGTGATGGCTGTAGGAGCCATCCCTAACCTAGAGCCCAGTGCCTAGCAGTGTCCAAAATGTGTTTAGTTGAACCACAGCAGTGACATAGCTCCGTGTTAGTATTCTTGTCATTAAACAGCCTTTAATCAGGAGACTAGTGTTGTCCAAATTGTGTTCCATTTTTCTACCCATTCTCCCTTGGAATTTTCAAAGGGAGATCTATACACAAAGTTTGGTAGCAACGATATCCCAAATTACTGTAACTGATATTTGTCCCCAAACCTCAGTGTGAGGGCAGAAATCCAGTTTTCTAGCATGGCTGAACTGACCTAGGCTCTGGAACAAGACTCCATCCCGTTAGTAGGTGGAGAATGCTGGCAGAGAGCAAGGAAGAGTGACATTGCCCCGGCCTGCAGCTGGGTGCTGTTTCTGGGCCTTGTGACAAATGGGTAACAAAGGTTATCAGTCAGCCTTCAGTGTGGGGCTTAGTCTGGTCCTACATGAAGGAATGGATATGCAGAGTGAGAATAAGACACTAGTATGAGGGCACTTTAAAACACTCATGGAAAATGTAATTAAAATGCATTTATTTTGGCACAGAAAATGTTGAAATTATATATATGAGGGGGTCTTCAAAAAACCCACAAAAAAGACAGTGTAAAAAAAAAAAACCAGAAAATCTTTTGGTACCAAAACAAACATTTCTTAATTCTGTTTCCCACAAACTGTTGGAAACACTCCTTATGCAGAATGTAGCACTTGGGTGCACAGTGACCATGCCCACAAACAGGGCTGAGTCAGATGTGGGTTCTGACTTCTTGCAAAGCTGTAGCAAAGCCTAACGGAGAAGGGGGCGTTTCGGAGAGGAAGGTTAGAAGAACGCGACCTCCATCCAAAGGGCCCTTCACAGAACACTCATTGCAGATCTAGCGGGGTATCTCTCAAGGCAACCAGATGTTTCTCTTCCTGGGAAACTCCTGCAGCAGATGACACTCACTGGAGTTGTAGTCTTCCCTCCTGCCTGGGAGATGGACACATTTTAGGCCTTCATGGAATTTTAAACTCAGATTCCAAAAAGAAAATTGCATTTGTTCATGTAATAAATAATAATGCATCTGGACCTGGCAACCACTAGGCAAGGCTGCAGAAGATATATAATACAATTAGCCCTTGCTAGGAGTTGCCAGCTGACAATGAGGCAAGATTTATGTGTTCGCTTTTTCCATAAGTACAGTTTTATTTGATAAGTGCAGTCCAAAGATATAAAGAATTAATCCAGGGGTCTGCATTGTGGGATGTTTCCTCTGTAATATTAAAATAAATATTACCCCTCTATCCAATTACATAAAATTATGTTAATAATATCTTCTTTGTTGTTGTTGTCTGCCTGTTTCATCTTTGTAGCCAGTTTATTAAAAGCAGTGACTGGCTTTCTTTCAGAAAGAGGTAGGGTTTTTGTGTTGTTGTTGTTGTTATCATCCTGGTCAGAGGAGTATAATTAGTTCTTTTATTTAAAAGAAGCATTCCCTACTGGGGTGGAGGGTTTGGTGGCCACCAGGGCTAGTATTCAGAGACAGCTTTTGTTCTGATCTCCCCTAACTTCTAGCTCCTCCCTTAGGGCAAACCTGAACTTTTAGGAATAGTAAAGTCATACTCTGCTTTGAATATGTATGTGGGCTTAGGGGTATGCAGGTGTACCTTAAACATTTGTAGAAAATTGAATTAAAAGATCAGTTTAGCCAGCGCCGCGGCTCACTAGGCTAATCCTCTGCCTTGCGGTGCCAGCACACCGGGTTCTAGTCCTGGTCAGGGCGCCGGATTCTGTCCCGGTTGCCCCTCTTTCAGGCCAGCTCTCTGCTGTGGCCAGGGAGTGCAGTGGAGGACAGCCCAAGTGCTTGGGCCCGGCACCCCATGGGAGACCAGGAGAAGCACCTGGCTCCTGCCTTCGGATCAGCGCGGTGCGCCGGCTGTGGCGGCCATTGGAGGGTAAACCAACGGCAAAGGAAGACCTTTCTCTCTGTCTCTCTCTCTCACTGTCAACTCTGCCTGTCAAAAAACGAAAAAAAATTAATTAAAAAAAAGATCAGTTTATTTTAGTGTAAATATTTTGAAATCCATGCATAGTTTTTTTTTCATCACACCATTTTCCATGAGTTTTGGAAGATCCCTTGTCTAGAAGTATGGGTGGGACTTTGATCAAGTTGAAGGATCCAATCCATGCCAAAGATTCAAAAGTAACACTGCACTGTGTGTTGGGGGTTGTGTGGGGGGAGATGAGTTATTTCCTGCAATGCTTTCATTACACCATTTTTCTTGTTTGCTGGAGACTACTAGTAGAAATGTATCCTAGGCCAAGGATGGTGTTTTAGTCAGCTTTTCCTTATTTTAAAACACCTGAGAGAAGGGACTTATGAAGGAAGAGGTTTTATTTTGGCCCACAGTCTGGAGGTTCGGAGGGCAGCCTCAGGAGTCTGGCATCTGAAGGAGCCTGGCAATGGCAGTGCTTGTGGGGAGGATGGATCACATGAGCTAGGAAGCAGACAGACAGGAAGCATGCTCAGCTTATGTAACCAGCTCTCTTGCAAGACCTACCTTCCTCCCAGTCACCTACAGACCTACCTCTTGGCCCACCTCCCAGACATCACAATTGGATCAAGCCTCCACCCTTAATCCAGCATACCATTAACATTAATCCATCACCCATTAACATATGACTCTGTGGTTTAACCACCTGCAGGGATTTGGGGAGCCAGATCCTGTTCAAACCATAGTGGATGGCATATATAGTCTCTGCCCAAATAGGGATTCAAAGGTACTCGAAAAGTTGGTACAACATGGAATTAAAAGATAAGTTTATTTGGGGACAATTCACACATACAAAGGGTCTTCAGAAGTTCACAGAAAATGCATATCGTGAGAAAACTATGCATGAATTTCAATTTTCCCCCCAAACTTACTGCTGTTGTAATGTAATCCACTCATTCACATAGACATAACCAGTAAACACATGCCTGTCAACTCACTGCTTTTGATGAGAGCTACTGAAAGTGTAGTTTTTCGTCTGATGTCTGTGCGCAACCTGCTGGCTACCTGTCCGTGGTAAGAGCAGCAGAGATTGAGAGAGCCTTGAGAGGCATCTGTAGCAATTTATGATGCCATCTTACATCTGTGGAATCTAGCAGAAGTACAGGTTGAGCTTGTTTCTTGAATGTCATTGTTTTAGTCATTTCATTTTCTAGCAATTATTTTTTATTCATTAAAAATGCAGTAAAGTGGAGGAAGACTGGATTTTATACCAGATAACTTGAGAAGCGCAGGTCCTAAGAGGTAGAATGTGTTCTCCTTTATCTCTCTTTCCATAGAGGCTACTGCAAAATTAAAATCCAGCAAATCCTAATCAGTGTTGGTTAACCTGATGTGAGCTTTGACCATGACCCTCAAACCTGCTCTATCCTCGTGCTGCTGGTGCCAGGAAGGAGGAAGAAAAAAGAAAAAAATGAGGATTTGCCACAGTTTTCTGGTCTCAAACATGCACACACTGAATCTTTATAAAGTCCTTTGAAGAAGTATAATTAGAGACGTTATAATGGAGAGAAAACCAGGGGCACACGGGCCCAGGACCAGGTTTCAAAGCCAGGCTTCCATACTAAGAATGGGGTCTTTCCCGTTCTCTGCTTGCTGAGCTGAGACTCCCAGGGTGTGTGTGTGTGTGCCCCTTCCTTAACCGAGGCAACAGTGTGGAGCACCTTAAAGCAGGCAGTCTGATTGCCTGGAGCTCTTTTAACAGGGAGAAATCCAAGTCACAGAGGGGTTATCAAACTGAATGGACACCAAGCTAAGCAGTGTCTGACACTGATTCTCCTCAGTGAGGGACAAGGGTTCAGTAGCTTGTTTCTCAGGTTTCAGAGTCAAACTGCATTCCTGTCTGCCAAGGATAAGGGTGGCATGGCTGTCACATACAGTTGTGCAGACTGTGCACTGTGCAATGTCAAGAGTTGCTATTTACATTATCATCCATGTAATAGAGCTTGTGCATGCATGGCACGACCTGCATGGCTAATGCAACGGGCCCAGCCTGGAAAGGCTATGGAATCTGAAGCCTGCTGTTCAAAAACAGTCCCAGAGGCCCCCACGCACTCTTTGGAAAGCGCCAAGCTCCTCCCTGCTCCCACAGAGAGAATGCCTCTACACACCCCCTGCTGCCCCTATTGTCCAGCCCCTGGTGCAGGTCACTGATCAGAAACAAAGCAAGATGAGCTTGTGATACACTCTTTGTTGGACCTTTAATCTCTGGTCCACTGTGCTTTTATGAAATGTGAAAGTAGATTATGGGCTGTGCAACACCATAGAGCTCAGTTAGGTAATGATTAAAACGTAGCAAACGCTGCCAATGGCAATAAAGGAAGAATGAGGTCATAGGAGAACTTACTCCTGTTTCAGCTACTTGTTGTTTCTGAAGATTCAGATTCCCCAAAAAGAACAAAACAAGCATTTGTTCTGATTGATACCTCTATTGACCTGTCCTAGGAAGACTTGGTGCAGAATTGGCACTCGGAAAACGCTGACCAGTGATGGCAGGAACTAAGAAATGAAGGGTAGGTGAAGTGATTGGGTAAGCAAGGTTGCAGGGATAGGAGAAACCAGGAGAACCTGCCTGGTGCAGTATGGCAGTGGAAATGAACGTTGCTTATACTAGGGAGCTTCTGGGTAGTAAATTACCTGCCCTGGAAACCAGTGACTGTTGAGTTCCAGTGATGAGCCAAGCACTGTGTTAGGGGCCCCTCCACATGCTATTGGATTCGATTCCTCACTGACGTCACAGTATGATTACTCTCATCCCATCTTACAGGCTAAGTACCTGGCTTCAGGTTCACACTGAAACGTAACAAACACAGGATTTGAACACAGACCCACATGACTCCTGAAACTACAGTTTCTGTTGTTCAGGCAGTCAAAACCACCCCAAACTTACATTGAAACATTGAGACTTCCTTTTGGAAGCATAGGCTTTTCAAGGTGCCAGGGATCTCATCCTTGAATTTGTTATCAGGTTCTTGGCTTTCCTGAGAAATTCTTTCTTCTTGGAGCACCTGGGGAGAGGTGTGGTTCCAGGAACAGGGATGGGAGGGCAAAACCATGAGTCTTGTGATGCAGCTGGCCCAGGTCCAGATATTCTTCCACCACCAATGTACATTGTGGCCTGATGCGTCTTATTCTTGATCCAGGGCTGAATTAGTGTCTAAGGTGGGCTAGTAATGAATCAGTGGGCACAAGGGAATAGCATGTTGAGATCTTCTGTAGTGAGGGGGAGAGGAGGGGATGGAGAGCAGAGAAGATGAGAACAGGAAACCCTTCTGAGCTGATCACTTAATTATTAGACTCATCTTTTGCCTTTGATGATAAGTAATAGAAAAAACACAGGAGAGAGTTAAGATTCAGGATCGTGAAGCAATAGATAGGAAATCATCTCCTTTCCCTGTCATTTGATGCTATTGGATACCAAGGTGGGGTTGCAAACTGCTGGCCTCTATTTTGTTGATAAGGTTAATTTGACTTAAAAATTCTGTACGTCTTGGAATAAGCCTGAGGTGGGGAGGTGGTTTATAGGAGTGAGGGAGGGATGGGTGTGCCGGACAGCTGGGAGAGGAGACTGTCCATGTGTCAGCATCCTTCCGTCTTGTAACCTGTCATCTTGGTGCCACTGCTTCACTCAGGGCCTGGAGCTTTCCCAGTGGCCTGCATGTCACCTCTGATGTTCTGTGGGATGGCCTGTTAGCCCTTTCCCTGTTCCCTCCTCTCATGTGTAGGATACTGAGTCATCAGTATCCACTCCTTTCACAGCCAGGGTGGTACAGTAAGAGCAGACCTCCTGGCCCCGAGGCTGTCCGTCATAGAGGGCACCACGCAGAGTCTACAAACAGGGCGGGCCGCTTGACAACTGATGAATGCCCTTCTTTCCTGCTTTGCTGACAGAAGGCCAGACCTGGGGTGTGATACATGGTTGGTGGTGTTTATTTACTCAACTGCAAATAACTTCAGGATTTTAAGACAATCAGAAGAAAGTTGCCAGCTATGGTGAGTGGGCCTTTTCATCCCTGGTGGTGCCTTTACTAAGCATTGTCCCGCAGTCTGGGAGATCCACACATCTCCACTCCGCCTGCACCACAGTGGTCAGGGATTTGCATATGCAGTCATTATGACTTACTTTCTCAGATGACTCTTTGAGGATGTCTTCTCAATTTTTATGCACGTGAGATATCTTCTGGTATTTTCACTGTGTGCTCTTCATGCTGAGTTCTTCCTGGGGAAGGCAGAACAGCATGGGGATATGCTGCACTGTCAAGCCCCACATTGTGGCCAGTAGTAGTTTAGTTTTCTGTTAATGGTTCTTCCAAAGCTCGTCTCTGTCCTTCTCTCAGTGGTTGGGTGATGGGCACTTTACCACCAAAATCATTCTCTTTTCTTCCAAGCAAAGAACTGTGGAAAGAAAATGAAAACCCTGTGGTTGTTGGGGGGTGAAATTTTGCTTCCACATGGCCCAGAGTGTCTGGGACCTTCCCATTGCCTGAGTTTAACCAGTAACTGACTGGGTTTATGTGCTCCTTCAAAACTGCAAAGTGCACACCAGACATTAGGTTCGTCTCCTCCTCTTTGATTTGATGACTTTGCTCCTAAGCACAAGATGGGTGTGCCTGGTATAGTGCATGAAAAATGGCTGTCACTGGTTTGCTATTCCTCCACATAGAGGTCCAGTTTTATTTCTGACTGAATGGCCGTAGTGACTTGCTTAAGTAATAGATAGAAGGCAAAAGAATGACGTTCAGGGACATGTGAGGTCACATTGAACCAAGCCTTGGAATTTCAGCCCAGATGTCTTAGAAGCCTCACTCCAGGGATGTTCTTTCTGCCAACCCAGGGGCCACGCCCTAAAGAGAGACCGTGTGCCTGCAGATGATTGGTTTAGCAGCCCTAGATGAACTCTGAGTCAGCAGACAGCAGCAACAGCCAACTCTCCTAGCCCACCTGCACGCTTGTGATTAAAGATGCTGCCTTGGAAGTGATCCTCCTGTGCTTGTCCAGCAGGCCTCGCTCCTGGCCAGAGGTGAACCACCCAGCTAACGACTTCATCAGTCACCAAGTTGTTGTGTTCACAGTTAAGTCTTTTACTTAAGTCTTCTGCTTAAGTCTCTAGTTCAGGAATCATTTGGTATGTAGCAATAAATAATTATAATACTTGGTGAACAGAATTGTTAGCTTTTGGGATTCCAGACTCCATGAGAAAGCTCACGTAATTGTAGGAGAAAATGAGAAAGGGACTTTATGCTATGCATTTGCTATCTCTCCAGCACTAAGTCTTCATGCAACTCCTCATTTCTTGCTGTCCGGTCAGTCTGGTTACCTAATTTCCCAATTTAGCGTTCTATGTGGCTATTGTTTCCTAGCTTCAAAATGGCTTTATAAAATGCGGAGGCAGAGTGAGTTTGTTTGTTTCTTAGGCCTGAGGTAGTCATCCTTGGAGTTGAATGTTTATTTGGTTATACTGGACAAATTCATGTCATCACTAGGGCAGAGAGGTGAGTGAATAGCTCTAGCCTCGGATGGGTCTAGGCTCTATGAAAAGGGGCTATGCTTCCACTTTCATGTATTGAGTATAATCATTCTGTAACAGTTTCCTGCAGTCCAGGGTTGAGAAGAAATCTGAGGCTAACATTTGGCTCTGTGGGAAATAATATTAGGAGCCACAAGTGATGTCTGCTCTGGTTAGGAGTAGTTAGTGCTATAAATTGAGTTTGATGTGCCTTGAGATCAGAGCTCTCCCAATAACCAATATTGCACATGTAGATTCTTGAGGACCTACAGAACTGGCAAAGAGGACCATCAACCTTTGGAAAGCTCCTGAAAAAATTTTGGTAAATTATAACTAAGAATTTTGGGAACAAAGCCCAGGGATACATATTCAATGTATCTACATAAATATATTTGACAGACTAAATCATTCTGATTAAGGCTGTGTGTACTTTTTGGATGCGAGAAAATATAACGTGTGATGCTTGTAATGGGATTTTTATATTAGACTAAAATCACACCCCTCACACACACACATGCATTCACCCCTCATACCCAGATGGCAAGAAGGCAGTACTCTGAACATGAATTGAGAGACTTGATATTAGTTTACTAGGGCTGCCATAAAAAAGTACCATAGATAGGTACCAAGTTAAAAAAGAGTCATTTATTTCTTGCAGTTCTAGAAACTTGAAATCCAAGATCAAGGTATCTGCAGTATGAGTTTCTTCTCAGAGCTCTCTGTCTTGGCTTGCAGGTGGCTATCTTCTCCGTGTCTTTGTGTTGTTTCCCCTATATGTCTTTGTCCCAGTTTCTTTTGGGAAGGACACTGATCACAGTGGTTTAAGATCCACCCAAATGCCATATGACTTTGTTTATTCTGATAACCTCTTAAAAGCGCTATCTCCAAATACAATCAGGTCTGGCACCACGGCTCACTAGGCTAATTCTCCACCTGCTGCACTGGCACCCAGGGTTCTAGTCTTGGTCGTGGCGCTGGTTCTGTCCAGGTTGCTCCTCTTCCAGTCCAGCTCTTTGCTGTGGCCTTGGAAGGCAGTGGAGGATGGCCCAAGTGCTTGGGCCCTGTACCCACATGGGAGACCAGGAGGAAGCACCTGGCTCCTGGCTTCGGATCGGTGCAGCACGTCGGCAGCAACGCACCGGCCGTAGCGGCCACTTGGGGAGTGAACCAACAGAAAAAGGAAGTCCTTTCTCTCTGTATCTCTCTCTCTCTCTCACTAACTCTGCCTGTCAAAAAAACAAAACAAAACAAAACAAAAACAACAACAACAACAACAACAACAACAACAAAAACCAAATACAATCAGATCTTGAGGTACTCGGATTTGGGACTTCCATGTATGAACTGGAGTGGGGAAAGAGCACAATTCAGCCCATAATGCATGGAATTGAGTTCTGGCTCTTCCATATATGATCGTAAGTAAGTTATTTAACCTTCCCAAGCATCTGTTTTCTTTTATCTGAAATGAGAATTCAAAATGATAGTTACCCACCACCAATTTTCACCTTTCACAAACAACTCCTTGGGTTTTTTTTAACTTTTATTTAATAAATATAAATTTCCAAAGTACAGCTTTTGGGATTACAGTGGCTTTTTCACCCCATAACTTCCCTTCCACCCACAACCCTCCCATCTCTCTTCCTCTCCCATTCCATTCACATCAAGATTCATTTTCAATTATCTTTATATACAGAAGATCAATTTAGTATATACTAAGTGAAGATTCAACAGTTTGCACCCACACAGAAACACAAAGTGTAAAGTACTGTTTGAGTACTAGTTCTAGCATTAATTCACATTGAACAACACATTAAGGACAGAGATCTTACATGGGATCCTACATGGCACAGTGACTCCTGTTGTTGACTTAACATTTGACACTCTTTTTTATGGCATCAGTAATCTCCCTAGGCTCTTATCATGAGTTGCCAGGGCTATGGAAGCCTTTTGAGTTCGCCAACTCTGATCTTATTTAGACAAGGTCATAGTCGAAGTCGAAGTTCTCTC